CAGCTTCTGCAGCTGTGTGACTTGGGAGAGGCCTCTACCCTGATCCACAGACTTGGGACGTTCTAGCCTCTACAATCGCGTGAGCTGTTTCCTTGATATAATCTCTCTCTCTATATATATATATTTATACACTTTACTGGTTTTGCTTCTCTAGAGAACCCAGCCTAAGACACCAGGTTTGTCTTCCAAGGCATGACTGGGTTGGTTCAAACCACCAACCTTTCAGTTCGCAGTTGAGCTCTTGGCCATTTGAGCCACCGAGGGATCCTCAGTGTTTCATAGGTAGGTGTTAACAGACAATCTAATAATTAGATGGTAAACTACTACTGTGTTTCTACTGTCACATTTGGTGGGGCCTGTAATAAAGAATGAATGAAGACAGAAGGAGAGTTTGGTTTCTGCTGAGGCAGTACAGACGTTCTAAGTACATTGATTAGTGTCATGATGTCTCTGTGACCTATTCAGTTTTAGAATTGTCTGAGAACTAAGGAACAGATTCTAGGAGGAAGGAGGACTTGAGTAAACAGAGACTACACTCTAATGCCAAAATCCAGACTCTTAACTATATGCAGTTGAGAAAAGGCCTCCTTCCCTTTTCTTTGGAAATCATCCTTTAAGTCAGGAAATGACCCTTGTTTCTAGTAATCTGTACAATCACAATTATGTGATGTGTGAGGTAATGAAACTATAAAAATATATTATGAGTGTTTTATGAGTCTACCCAAAGATCCCTTTTCTCAGGCTCTGCCTGGTGATTTGAATTTCTCCTGCATGATTTTGATTCTACAGGTACACTTTATAGTGAATGGTCACGGAAAGTCTCCCTGACCGAGAGATAGCATTCAAGTTGAGATATGAATGATAAAAAAATGAAGCCAGCCTTACAAGATGGGAGGAAAGGGCACTCCAGGCAGAAAAGGCATTTAACACAAAGATCTTATGGTGGTAACTCCCTTATCATATTTGTAGAGCAGAAAGAAGTCCATGAGGCTAAAGGAGAAGAGCAAAGGCAGAGTGAGAGGAAGGGAGATCAACAAGTTAGGCAGGGTCCAAAATATACAAGGTTTTGTAAGCCAGATAAGTTCTCCATTGGTGATCTCATACCTTGGGAAAGGAGACCCAAGATCAAGACCTGGGGCGTTTAAACCTTTAAGTGTCAAACAACAGAAGGGGGCTGTCACAGATTGAATTGTGTCCCCCAAAAATATCTGTTGACTTGGCTAGGTCACGATTCCTAGTATTGTATGATTGTCTACCATTTTATCATCTGATGTGATTTCCCTGTGTGTTGTAAATTCTATCACTATGATGTAATAAGATGGATTATCGGCAGTTATATTGATGAGCTCTACAAGATTAGATAGTGTCTTAAGCCAGTATCTTTTGAGATATAAAAGAGAGAAGCAAGCAGAGAGACAGGGGGACCTCATACCACCAAGAAAGCAGTGCTGAGAGCAGAGCACATCCTTTGGACCTGAGGTTCCTACGTTGAAATTCTCCCAGACCAAGGGAAGACTGATGACAAGGACCTTCCTCCAGAGTTGACAGAGAGAGAAAGCCTTCTCCTGGAGCTGTTGCCCTGAATGTGGACTTGTAGCCTACTAGACTGTGAGAGAATAAGTTTCTCTTTGTTAAAGCCATCCATTTGTGGTATTTCTGTTATAGCAGAACTAGATGACTAAGACAGGCCAAATAAACAACACTGAGAAGGAGTGATCAATGACTTAGGAAGAAAATCAGTAAAGCCGTCATGACAAAAATCACATGATCATCTCAACAGATGTGGAAAAGCATTTGACAAAATCCAACAAACTTTCATCATTGAAAAACCACTCAACAAAATGAGAAAAGAAGGGAACCTCCTTAACCTGATAAAGGTCATCTGTAAAGAATCCACAGCTAAGATAACAATTAATGGTGAAAGACTGGATGCTTTTCTCTTAAGATCAGGAACAAAACAGCAGTGTCCACTCTTACTACTTTTATTCAAAAATGTCCTTACTGGAGGTTCTAGCCAGGGCAATTAGATGAGAAGGGTCTGGGTTTGGGGTCTTTAAAGCCATCAGGGATAAATAATAAACTAAAGAAGAGCTGCTTTCCCTTAAAAAAAAAAAAAAAACTTATAGTACCACAGATGTGTATGTGGTCGGACTATTGCCTCAACAGACATTATACAGTGCATGACTGTATTGGAAGAAAATGGAATTAAAGAGAAAAAAAGGGATTAACTCAGGCTTTCAAAAAATCTTCTCTAAGCCCTCTGAAGGTAATCAAAAGACAAAGTGAAATCTTAGTAAAAAGAAACAAATGTTTTTTAGGTTGAAAGAAAGTAAATACCTTCTCTCAGTCTGCTGGTGTCTTGTCAATTTCTTGATGTTGTCCTTTGAAGCACAGAAGTTTTTAAATTTGATAAAGTCTAATTTATCAAATTTTTCTTTTGCTGCTTGGGCTTTTGGTGTCATATATAAGAAGCCATTGCCTAATTCAAAGTAATGATTTATGACTTTGTTTTCTACTAAGAATTTTATAGTTTGAACTCTTACATTTAGGTCTGTGATCCATTTTGAGTCAAAACTTATGCTGAGTGAAATACATCAGTAACAAAAGGACAAATACTTTATGATCTCACTTATATGAAATAAGCAAATAAAAAAAAAAACCCTTTGCCGTAGAGCCAATTCCGACTCATAGCAACCCTAGAGGACAGAGTAGAACTGCCTAATATGGTTTCTAAGGAGTGGCTGGTGGATCCAAACTGCCAACCTTTTGGTTAGCAGCCAAGCTCTTAATTACTGTGCCACTAGGGCTCCATAAAGTAAATATATAGAAACCAAAAATTGTTAGTGGTTACCAGGGGTGGGAGAACAGGGGAAACGGAGAGTTACTGTTCAGGGGACACAAAGTTTATCTTAATGGTGGTGAAAGAATTCAGAAAAGGATATTGAGAATGGTTGCACAACTTGAAGAATGTAATCCATGTCACTGAATTCTACATATAGAAACTGTTAAACTGGTGTGTGTTTTGTTGTATATATTTTCACCACAATGAAAAATAAAAGATAATTATGTAGTCCTATAGTCCTTATTTTCAATTAATTCACTGGTATTCTGTTTTATAAAAAAATATTTTTCACTGCTCTGAGGATAACACTGTGATAAAATATTAAATGATGATAATAAGCACTCTACCTCTGAGGTCTTCCACTGTTTCCTGTGCTGGCAACTCCTAAATAAATGAAAGAACAAAAATCAATATGTGACTCAGCTCACGGCACATTTCCAGTCAGCCAGCAGATATTGATCAGCAGCCACTGTTTTTCTAAAAGGCATGTAAGGAGGAGACAACAGAGTGCCCACTCTCCTCAATCTTCTAATAAAATGGGTAGCAAAAATGAATAGAAAAAAAAAGATATATATATATATACATGTAAGTGTAGACATCCAAGCAAGAGAGCTGTACTGGGATTAAGGGGGGTTGATAATTATGGAAGGAAAAAGGAGAGAGAATAAGGCACTACTTATACTAGAATAAATTGTTGTTGTGCCGTAGAGTCGATTCCAACTCATAGCAATGATAAAGGACAGAGTAAAACTGCCCCATAGGGTTTCCAAAGAGCGGCCAGTGGATTCAAACTGCTGACGTTTTAGTTAGCAGCCTGAGCTGTTAACCACCTCGCCACCAGGGCTCCAGTAGAATAAATAGAGCCTGCTAAAAAGTTGGGGGAGAAGACAGAAGTGGCCGGGGCCAGAGTACTTGCAGCACAGGATCGGGTGTTCATCTATGGTCCCAAGTGCGTGCCTCAGGCTGCTTCCACACTCTGAGGATGTGATATTCCATTAACACAGGGACCAGAACTTATGAATATACAGCTAGTCTGCACGCAAAGTAAAAATGCTGCCACTGCACACTTCCATTCAAAGAGGAATCAAACACAAAAACAAAATGAAAGAGGAAAACAGCACTAACCAATAGCCCGGAAGAGTGGTGAGAGTTTATGCTTTGCCTGCGGGAGCTGCGGTGGAGAGGAGGCGTGGGTAGGTTGCTATTGGCCTCTTCCTTTTCGCCATTGTTAATCTGTCTATTATTGCTAATCCAACACAAGAAACACAAGACCGTGATTATATAACAAAATAGAAACATGACTCTTTCAGTATTAGTCTAAAATCAAATTTTCTTCCAGGTCCATTTTGTCATATTCTTCACTGTATAAAAATCTCATTTTTAAGGGAGAGTAGTAAACATTATAAACATTACTTTTAAATTATAGGGCATGTTCTCTCACAGAACAATCAGAAATAAGGACAAGAATAGAGGCAATGATGCTTACTCAAGAATTACTTAATATTTTATTACTTTCATATTAACAAACATGGATGTTATTTTTAAAAATACTGTAAGCATTTAAATGACAAGATAAAAATACTGAACTAAAGTGCTAAGCCTAATGCAAACAAACTTAAGATCAGGGTATAAGGCCATATTGATAGACAGTTAAACTATCTTGATTACGAAAATCAATTTTATGCCTAACTGAAAAATATTTTTAAAATATATATATCTGTGTCTGCCTGTACTGGCATATTTTCATAAACAACTACAAAGTGAGAAAAATCTTTTTCATCAAAATTAGAGCATTTTAATTATGAACTGACACATTAATTGGAAAAGTTACCTCGGATTTTTGTGATTAGTTATATGTTCACTGTTGGCCTCTTTGTCTTTATGGAGCTTCTCTTTCCTTTTGGAGGGCTTTTGCTGAATTACTTCCCCTTTGTCAAACATGAGGTGTAGGCGATAACTGACCAATTTGATTACTGTGAAGAATATAGTCACTGAACTGCAGTAAAAAAATACAGTGAACGCATTTGGAGGAAAAGCCTAAAAGGAGAAAAAGAAAGAAAATATGAAGCCCTGAGCTTAGTAAACACTGATAGTCATTCAATTACAGGATTGCTTTTTTTGTTTTGTCTTTGTTTTAAATCTGAACGCATTTTTTTGTCTATTTATTGAACATAAATCAAGCAAGATATTAAATTTTATGAATTTTATAAGTTTTCTTGGCTATAATATTTGAGGAGAAAGAGCTGCTACCTCCCCCCCTCCCCCACCACCACCTTTAGTCTTTCTTGTTTCTCAGGTTCTTGTACTAGGTGGGTTGGTGAGCAACATGTGATTTGCAGGCAGGAACCCACAGAACAAGGTGAACCTTCCCCTTTTCTATAGCTTAATCCTATCTTCCTGCACATCTGTTCTCAAAGGCCAGAAGAAGGCCGTTTAGATGTTGTTTCCTTCAATGGAACACAAAGAGCCTTGTGGAGAGTCCAGAAAGAGAGGAAGAGAAAGATTAGCATTGTGTCCCCCTCCTTCCCCTCCCAAGCCTCCCATTAGGCTTACATCTGTAGGGCCATGGATTTCCCTAGAATGGTGACACAGACAAGAGACCAAATAGGGTGTATACTGCTTCCAGGAGGAAGAAGGGCATGTCCAGCAGTGACAAGTTATCTTAACATGGAGATCATGATAAAGTTCAATTCAGTTCTGTCCAATCCTCTCAAGAAACAAAAAGAATCACTTGGGGCCCATGTTAGTAACTGCCCCACCCCTTAGGAACTCCCACCGTTAAATCAAAACTAAACTCATTGCCATTGAGTTGATTTCAACTTATACTGACCCTATAAGACAGAGTAGAACTACCCCACAGGGATTCCAAGGAGAGGCTGGTGGAATCAAACTGCCTACCTTCTGGTTAACAGACAAATGCTTAATCAACTGCGCCACCAGGATCTACTAGGATCTCCCACATACCTCCTAGTTCTTTCCCAGGACCAAGGATCATTACAGGCTCAATGACCTTTCTTAAAACTAAATCCTTTGGAATGCAGACAGATTCTAGAGTGTCCCAGGACTATACAAAGGGCAGCCTCAATGAACAGCAAGAACCTTTCATCACTAGGCCTCCCTGAAGGACTTCAGAGATCCAGCAATGAGTCGTGGTCTGTGCTGTGTCCTGGAACACAGCCAGGTCCACACACAGCATGGCCCTGTCCAGCTCTGCTCCTATAGCAGCCCCCGCCAACCTGCCAACCTGCCCCAGCCCATCTGGGGTTTAGCATCAAGGTAAAATGGTCCTTGAAACAGAACAGCCCAGCAAAAAGAATTTCAAAGAAAGAGAAACACAATCACCAACAACCATAAGATGAAATGAGGAATTATCACCGTCACTGACTCACTTTTAAGGCAAAAAAACTCCACATCAATATAAACCAACAAATAAGTGAATAAAAAAATCACAAGATAATATTAGAGAGAGACAGATAGACAGACAGATAGATAAATAGATAGATAATGGATAAATCCAGGTCCCTATCTGGAAGTGGGTAAGTTTCACATTTACATATGCATCTTGATGTGACGCCGTGAAACAATTCAAGCAATATATAGACACGTTAAAAAGAGCAAGAGATAGGGGGCCACTAATAGCCACCACCACTTTTTCTTAATGTGTCTATATTATTTAGGTTTTCACATTTCAGTTTAAAGCTAGAAGGTTAATTTGAGAAAAGTGGCAAAAGAAGGGGAAACTCTATATGGTACAATGGATTCCAGAGTGCTGTCATAAACAAATTATATTCAAAAGTTATTTACATTTTTATACAATTTAGGCTTCATAGTTCTCTGGTTGGCAGGCGTAGCAGAGACAGTTAGTGGTCACCCATCTAAATATTCCATCTACCACCCATCTGTCAGCTTGCATGTTGCTATGATGTTGGCAGCTATGCCACCAGTATTACACATACCAGCAGAGTCACCCATGGTGGACAGATTTCAGTGGAGCTCCCAGACTACATAACACTGATTAGGAAGAAAGGCCTGAAGATCTACTTCTAAAAATCAGCCAGTGAAAACCCTATGGATCGTAACAGAACAGTGTCTGATATAGACTCGACCATATCAACAATTGTGGGATGACACAGGACTGGGCAATGTTTGCCTGTTGTACATGGGTTCATGATGAGTCAGAGCCAACTCGACAACATCTATAAAGAACAACGAACATTCCACACACTCCCCTATACTTCCCAGCCTCCCCTGCAGTTAGTCCACTTCCATGTGACTACTTTTGGCCAATGGACTATGAGCAGGAGTGGCTGGTGTCACTTTTGTTGTCGTTAGGTGCTGCTGAGTCAGTTTCAACTCCTAGTGACCCTATGTACCACATAATGAAACACTGACTGGGCCAGCGCCATGCTCACAATCATTGTTATGCTTGAGCCCACTGCTGCAGCCACTGTGTCAATCCACCTCGGTGAGGGTCTTCCTCTTTTTCAATGACCCTATACTTTATCAAGCATGATGTTCTTCTCCAGGGACTGATCCCTCCTGACAATATGTCCAAAGTATGTAAGACGTAGTCTCGCCACCCTTGCTTCTAAGGAGCATTCTGGTTGTACTTCTTCCAAGACAGATTTGTTCCTTCTTTTGGCAGTCCATGGTATATTCAATATTCTTCACCAACACCACAATTCAAAAGCGCCAATTCTTCTTTGGTCTTCCTTATTCATTGTCCAGGTTTTGCAGGCATATGAGGCAACTGAAAATACCATGGCTTGGGTCAGGCACACCTCAGTCTTCAAGGTGACATCTTTGCTTTTCAACACTTTAAAGAGGTCTTTTGCAGCAGATTTGCCCAATGCAATGCATCTTTTGATTTCTTGACTGCTGCTTCCATGAGTGTTGATTGTGGATCCAAGTAGAATGAAATCCTTGACAACTTTGATCTTTTTCTCCATTTATCATGATGTTGCTTATTGGTCCAGTTGTGAGGATTTTTGTTTTATGTTGAGGTGTAATCCATACTGAAGGCTGTGGTGTTTGATCTTCATCAGTAAGTGCTTTAAGTCCTCTTCACTTTCAGCAAGCAAGGTTGTGTCATCTGCATAACATAGGTGGTTAACGAGTCTTCCTACAATCTTGATGATGCGTTCTTCTTCATATAGTCCAGCTTCTTGGATTATTTGCTCAGCATACAGACTGAATAGGTATGGTGAAATATGAGCTAGGATGCCTTCTCTATCCCCCTCTTTTCCTCTTTACTTGGTGATCTCAAAGGCCATGTTTTCCAGATGGAACATCCACAAGATGATGGAACTTCCTTCAACCTAGGTGCCTGACTGACTCTGTGGAATGAGGCGCTACTGACCCAAGATGGACATGTAACATGAGTAAGAAATAAACTTTTGATCCATTAAACTCTTGAGATTTGGGGTGTTATCTGCTGTAGCAGTCAGCATTGCTTAACCTACTTAATATAGGGGTTCCTTTTCCAAGGAGAAGCTTCTATTTAAATTATTGAATTTTCCTAAGAGCCACATATAATCTACTTTGAGACATACTGAGAAAACCCTAAGGCACTGGGAAAAGAATGCTAGGAAAGAAGTTGTTGTTGTTGTGTGCCATCCAGTCAATTCCAACTAATAGCAACCCTACAGGACAGAGTAGAACTGCCCCATAGGGTTTCCAAGGCTGTAGTCTGCCGCATCTTTCTCCTGTGGAGTGGCTTGTGGGTTCAAACTGCCGACCTTAAGATCAGCAGCCGAGCGCTTAACCACTGTGCCACCAGGGCTCCTTTAGGGAAGAAGAAGGGGAGAGAAAAAGATTATATGTGGCTCTTAGGAAAATTCATTTGGAAAAAAACTGGCTTGCCACAATAAGAACAGATAATACTTTTAAATTTATGCTTATAAATACAAACTTTAGCACAAGTTTGGTGATGCTGAAATCAAGAGAAGGCAGTAAGTTAAGAGTTTGAAGTTACCATGAGCATTAGTATCTCGTTTGCAGCCCCAGTGAGAACAGCCTGTCTCACCCTCCATGATGGACCACGTGGCACTGTGTCATATCCCCAGAAAACCAAAACACCTCACCAGGCCCTAGTGAGAGACAGAGATTTTACTCAAAATTTCCTGGGAAGAGAGGGAAAGTTTTACAGCATGGCATACATGGCACATTATTCTTCCTCAAATTCCCTGCTCTCATGATTCCTATAAAAACTCTCGCTTCAGTAGACCCTCCAAACAGAATCTAGCCTTTCTCCCAAATATCTCTTTATTCATGTCATGCAATTAAACTCTTACCAAGCTCCTCCAATTCTATATCCCAGAGACATAACTGAAAATCATTTTCAAGGTCATTTTACTAAGGATGTCATCAGGCCCAGTCAGCAAAAGAGCTCCAACTTCTGGGATGTGCTCTCCTTAGAAGTACGGGGGAGGGGGGTTAGGAAAGAATGGGTCAGAGATGAGTAGCTATAATATTATTTTTAGTTTACATCACAGCTTTATCCCTTCTGATGTAAGGTATATTCAGACTGTGAATAAAAGCTTACTTGTTCCCAGGGGAATCATAATTTCTTCTTAATCTCCATGAACTTACCATTTTAACACATTCTGATTAATAATTTAAAAAAAAAATAGTTGCCATCAAGTCTAGTTGGACCCATCTATGCAGAACTGCTCCATAGAGTTTTCAAAGCTGTGACCTTTCAGAAGCAGACCAGGCCTTTCTTCCGAGGAGCCTCTAGGTGGACTCAAACCTCTAACTTTGAGCACTTAACTGTTTGCAACACCCAGCAACTCCTCTGATAAGAGAAGACATTTTCACAACTGTATCCTTTAGTTAAAGAAAAGCTGTATGTTGTTCTCTGGCCCATTATTAATATAACTAGCAGTATAATAATTAATTCGACTATTCTTTTTCTGACAAAATTTCATGAAAAACAGTAAGCTGTTACCAAACAAGCAATTACAAATATTGTCACACCTCATGAGACTGGATCTCAGGACTCGGCACAATCTCAAAATGCCTCTCCGTTGGATGAC